AAAACATGGTGGTAGTCCGGCTTCTAGTAGGCATGTCGATGTGGTAAGCATCATGAACTGATTGTTTCTTTCGGCGAGTGAATTGTTCTGGGGATGTCCTGGAAGCGACTGGTCTAGTGGAATCCGGAGTTCCTTGAGTGCTGATTCAAATTGTGGCGCATCATCCGAGTAAGCGTTGGTGACCTTTCTCTTACCGATATAGTGCTTCATTGCCTGCACCACTTCGTCACTATTGCTTGCTTTCAATGGATAGCCCCATATCACACCAGTGAACCGATCTCGAATCACCAGTACATCCTTATCCGGCATGATCCCATCTCTCGCCATCTTCTGAGTGTTCATGAGATCGAAAGTGATAAGGTCACCGAATGCCTTCAATTTTCGTTTGAAAGCTCCCTTGCTAGTCTTGTAGTGCTTCATCTTTGCTCTTACACATGACTTGCAGTATGGGTTCTTGTATCGGTGTGTCATCAAGTGCAATATGGATTTCGCCTCGTTCTTCAGCACTCCTGGTTTTGATAGTCTGGCTTCCCCGTCAACCACATCGACTTCCAATAGTCCCTCTTCATCTTCACCAATGTCACTCTCCTCTCGTTCAGAATCCGCATCACCTCCATGTTCGTCGTCTCCGGCTTCTTCAGGTTGACCATCGTGATCACGATCGAATCTCGGATCTTCCCCGTCATATTCCTCTTCAGGAGAATACCTGTCATCACCGTGTTCCTCTGGTTCTCCTTCGACGCCTGCAACAGCTGGATTGATATCAGATTCACCATTCCGATCTCTCTGGTTATCTTTCTTCTTTCTCCTCCGTCTCCGTGGTTTCTTGGGCGGAAGTTCTTCTTGTTGTGTCTCCTGACCTGCTGTGGCCTCGTCTTCATGCCCCACACCTGACAGTATGCGATGAAGTATCGTAGCCAAGCCGTCTGGTCTTGGTAAGCATCTCCCGTCATCATCGTTCACCTTGATGTAGGGTATGTTGTCATGCACCGATAGCGGAATCTTGTTCGCGTTCTGGTCGATGAGGTATGGCAATTGATTTGCCGGCCATATGAATGAGTACCCTTGTTCCATGCACCGTTTCCCGATGGAAAAGACTGATGGTGTGCTCTCCAACACGTGTGCCTCGGACTTCATGGGTAGTTCGTCCACATTGATGTCCACCATCTCTGATGTACTAGTTACACCATTCGCTGTCATGAAACTCACGGATTTGGGTCCTTCCTTGGTGGTAAGGCCCATGGCATTGACTTTCTCTCTTGAGATCAAGTCGTGTCCACATCCCGTGTCCATGATGAAGCGTATTGGTGGTCCATCATACCTCTCCACGGCCATGAACATCGTGTCTCCTGGTATCGTGTAGTTGACAGAATCCTTCCTTACTACCTCGCTGGTGTTGAAATCAGACAGGTCGACGTTCACCTCGATTCCTTCATCTTGAGTGATTTGTATCCATGCCTTGGCAATGTGTTCAGCAGAGAATAGCTCCATCATCTTACCTTTGGCATGTGCTACTCGTGCAGCTATATTGCTCACTCTGAGGGCTCTCAACGACGAAATGAACTCGGTATCCACCTTCTGCACTTCATTCTTCTTCTTCCTGAGGGGACGGGTGTTTAGCTCGTTACCAGGGTCGCAGGTGAACGTGGTCACGTTCGCCTGGTCATCGAATCTGACTTTAAAGCGAAGCGCCAGCTCACCTTGTTGTACGTTGGGAAGTGCGGGTTGTACGTCCTCGTCATCACTCTCGATGTCTCCGCAAAGCATGAAGGCTGGCGCAGCCGGTTTGGGCTTGGCTTTGCCTTTAGCCTCCTGCTTTGTAGCAGGAGCAGCTTGATGCTGACGTCGACATTTGTCCCCGAACTTGCACGATCCTTTCTGCCAATTCCAACAGACCTGATCCTTCATTGGCTTAGGGCTACTGCTCCTGCCACCAGGGCTCTTTGATCTGTCACCCTTGAGGCTTTCTGGTTTCTTAGCAGAACTTTTGTGCTTCTCTTGGTGGCTAAACTTGCATTTGTCTCCTCTAGAACATCCGTTTTTCCCATGGAAGTGGAAAGCGCATCCTATCTTGGACGTATCTGCTGGAGTCGCTGACCTGCCACGATCCCCCTTTGGGCTCTTCGTGGTTGATCTTCCACGATCCTGCTTCTTGTCCTTCTTGTTGTGGTCCTTCGGATTAGCCTGAGGAAGTACTGGAGCGGCGTCATGTTTCGGTGGATCGGCCTTGGTATTCTTGGGTTTCGCTTTAGGGTCCTTCTTCTCCGCCGCTGGTGTGGCTTTCACGATGTTCCCAAAAGCTTTTTCCCTTTCTTTCTTGTTTGTGGTCTCGATTGATTTCCGTATCCACTTCGTCATGATCTCTCGTAACTTCTGGTAGGTCTTATCCGGGTCCTTATCCAACATGTTGTCATACACAGACAAGTCTAACGCCATAACTTTGGAATCCTTAATCTTATCCCAAAGCAGGTTGCGAAGTGCTTTGTCAGGAAGCATGTCATCCGCATCCATACCTGATATGATCTCATCCCACTGTCCAAGGAATCTGGATAGTTGATTATCCCCAGGGAACTTTAGATCGAATAAGTGCTTGGATGCATACATCACATCAACGTTGTCGGCACTCCGGAAACTATCGACGATCAACGCTAACATTTCTCGTCCCTTGACCATTCCAGGAGTTGTGCCTCTCGCACGTCTCTGCATCATCTGTCTCACTTTCAGTTGTACGTCATGAGATCTCTCACCTGCTGCGTGGATGATCGTGTGTAGGGTGATACCTAGTTTAGCGTCTATGCTAGCGAATCTTGCCTCGCCTGATGTCTCGAGTAGAAATGGGTCATATGGTGATCTGAAGGCATCCGAGAGCCATTGGATCCAGTCTTCTTGTTTCTCGTCGCCCGATGCCGTCACGACTGCCGCAACAACCTGGGATTTCCAAACCTCCAGGTCGTGTATCTTGGGCCATGCAGGGATGTTGATCTTCTCGTGTTCCTTCCGAGATATCTTGGAGCCACCTGAGCTGGAGGATGAAGCGGCACCATGTTCGGTTGCGGCTGCATTCTCTGCACTCACGCGCTCCTCTTCGTACCTCTTCCGGTACTTATTCCTCTCATCTCTGAGCCGTGATGCATGCGCTTCGAATTCCATCATGTCCTGTTGGTTCTGCATCATACCTTCGTAGTACTCAGTTGCCTCTTTCTCCTCGGACCTTAATGACTTTTCAGTACGTTCAAGTTCCGCTCTAAGCTTGGTCATCATCTCACTCTCCACATTGGGTTCTGATCCCATGTCTGGTGGTTTCAACTTCAGTGCGACCTTCAATTGTGCTTCACTTGCGCTTGATTCGATCAATTCTTCCTGAAGACGCTTCAGCATCCTCTCTTTACGTAGAATGTCCTCTTCCAACATGTTCACCTTGACTTCGGCCTTCTTGAGTTCGGCGTTGGATGGTTGAAAAGGTCGATCGGATCTTTGAATCCTCGTCTGAGTCAACTCCTCGTTCGCCTTCTTCAATTGCTCTCTGATGCTCAAGATGAACTTGTCCTGAGTATTAGATCGGTTGTTGAGCTCCTCATTCTCTTCTGATAACCATTTGATCTTGCTTGCATATATTGCTTCCCTCATCTTCATCTCTTCAGCATATTCGTGTTTGTTTCTGGCACTCTGCCTTTGTAGTCCAACTAACTCCTGTCTACACAGGTCCTTGACGTTCTCAGCATCTGCGATTGTAGTCATGACCTCGGTTACGGCTCGATCTCTTTCTGCCGATATAGCCTGGATCTCTTCCGTGCCGATGTTCACAACTTGACTAACCATCTCTGCGCTGTTGCGATCAGCGTACTCCCCTAACTGGGTGAGACGATCCCGCATTGCCACACGATCAGTGTCCATCTGGTATTGCAGGTCGTGTGCTGCCGAGAGCAAACAGTCTCTGGATTCTGTAAGTTGGGTGATTCTTCGTTGATTTCCATATCCTTCGACATAACATTCTTCGAGGTGTGCCATCACTACTTCGTGGACTTCGGTCTCGTGTTGTATAATCTGGTTCTGTCTCTGCTCACATTCGACCATCCATGCGTTTTGGTGGTTCAACATATGCACTTCGGCAAGTAGTTGCGCACACTTCGCATTCAGGTCTCCATCGGCCCGTGCTAGTTGTAGGTTGTCAGTGCTTGCCCTTGCTCCATCTCCAGCTTCGCTGTCCGACGGCACTGGTACAGCTGACCCATCCTCCAATGCTAACACTCTCACAGCTCCGGTGTCAGTCCTCCTCCTTGTCTCCCTAGGGCTACGGCCTGATCTCGGTGTCCCCCCCGGTGGTGTCGAGTGCGCTGACGGGGAACGACTTCGTGCTCTACCTGTCGCACCTTCTCTCACCACTGTCAGAGTCTCCGCTTCGATCGTACCTGGACTAGAGTTGTGGGATGCACTCACCCGATCTGCGGCCGCAGCAGCTGCTCCAAAAGATGCAGTGCTGGCGTCGGATTGGTCCATCTTCAGTGACTGCGGGTAACTGATCTATCCGATGCGTGTGCGTTTAGATGGTGTTGTGTAAGGCCGCAGCTCGTACCCAGCTCAAAGGAGCCTGGATACGGCTGATAACCTGCGAACGGATGGAAAGGTGTGCCCTGGCCCCGTTCTAGCCCTTAGTTCAACATGAAGCTCGCGCGCTAAAGCTCCTTTTTACCTGGTTGGGCACTTGAGCCAAAAGTATGTGGCATGTACCTGTATAGCGACTATACTGGGACCTCATCCCTATTGACAATCACATTACAGGGAGAACTTCATTCAATGGGTTTTAATATGACTTTCGTTTAGTCCAATGCTGTCCGTTTTTTGTTTTTTTTAATAAAGGTAATACCACCGGGCTCACCGACCAAGCCGCACGTTCACATTCACGTTCCGACGACCCGTCCACGTTCACCACGCGACGCACCGAGCTCGCACCGCCGCATGTCTCACCCTTCAGCGACGGTCCGAGAGAACTCGCGCGTCGCCTGCGTATAGAGGGGCTGCAGCATTTCTTCTCTTCGCTGGATCTCCTGAGAAGAGAAGAGCCCTAAGAAGAGCCCTACGGCGGGCTTGCATCCGAAGAGAAACGGCCAACCGGGCAGACCGTTGATCCGTCCCACAGGACGCTTGCCCAAAAGGCTCGAAAAAACCAACGGCCAGGGTCCATCAAGGAAGCAAAATCAGAAAGTGTGCAAGTCGTGGTCTTTGTTGTTTCCAATCATCTGCACATGTCAGTCATCTGCACTTGTCTGGCACAACATAGCTGACATACAAATAGATACGGTCTGTATCAGTCTATATCTATCCGGCACGTTGAAAGCCCATGCCAAGCCTGAATGTGAGGCATCCTCACCAAAGCATCACCCACAACTGAAGTTGTCACAACAACCCTACCTTTTCTCATGCCACTTTTGGCTTTATCGTCTTCTTTCTTCCTAGTTGTTTCACCGTACTTTGACTAGCTGCAAGATTTAGGTGCGCAACGCGCATGCATTTGTGGTGTGTGGAACTAGGACACATGATGCCGTAGCACAGTTCAATGCACAGAACGGTATTTCAGGTTCGCTGCTTTGTTGTTTTTGTTGTCGGTGTCATTGCTTTCGTGCCAGGTACAAACATTGATGTGTTCGCATAATTTACAAAAATAATACTGCAACAGAACACTCCTCGTTGTCTTTGCGGGGAAGACAAACCTGAGATGAACATAAATGTAATGAACTCTTGTCCATGCGCAGGTTGATCGTTTTACATTCAACAAGCCCCGCCGAGAAGACCCCCAAAAGGGTCAGAAGGTCGCGTGGATTCTCCTAATTGGTGGGTTTAATGATGAGTGAAGAGAGTTAAGAAATGGAAAAAAAGGCGATTGGTACTGCAGGACGTGTTTGACCAAAAAGGTGGACCTTACTAAATCGGGAAGGATCAATTATGGGTGCATATCGTTGGAGAATTGGTCAAAAGAGCCAAAGGTCTGGAACAAAGCCAACCTTGCTACTTTTCATGGGGCCGTTCTAAATAATGTGTTTTACGCTGGAGAAAGAGCATTTTTCGGGCAAAACGGACATGAGAAGTGAGACAAACAGTTTCCTGTTGAGAGTGAGTTTTTGAATACTCTCTCGACCGGAGGCCTTAAACCCATTTGAATCCCCTGATCACAGCATGGAACAAATTTAACAAGTACAACCCCCAGAGCCACCAGTGTAAAAAGAAAACTCACATTCCTCATCAATGTGAGGCATATTCTATGCAACTACATACCAAACACATCAAATATAACTATTATGACAACTTATGACTATGAGGTGCTGAGAATACTATTGAATCATCTAAACTGCAAACTTATGACTGTTTTATGAGGTGCTGAGAATACTATTGAATCATCTAAACTGCACACACACTCAACATCTGAGCAACACAACCATTTCATTGCCATTAACAATATCAAAACTAACCCCTGCGAGGCTACCTTTGATTTTGAGAGCAACATGAGCTAGTATGGCTTCCAGCTGCTCCAAACAGTATCCCAAGATTCCGCAGCCCAAGTTATATAATGACCTTTTAGCCCTGAACACTTCCATTATATACAATTATAATATTATATAATACTTGAAAACGGAACACAAATGGACAACTGGACAACTCAGGGTAGAGCTAATGCCAGTGCGCATATTGAATGAGTACTACAAATTGTGTACTATCCAATCTGGCTGGAAACAAACATTCCCGGTCAGAACGGATATGAAATCAATTTGGATCGTTTGCTTTTGCGCACCAAACAAGAAGTCTTGAATCGGTTGCGTCCAACATGTTGTGAAAATATTTAAATACTTGATTCTGGTTGAATTGGTGCAATTGATCTGATATTGTGCGTTCACATCATTTCAAGGTTGATTGATCAATAACATATGTTTCACATGTGTTTACATGTGTTTATTTACATGTGTTTCCTGTGTATTTTCTTATGTCGTTTCAGTTCCCCACCAAACCAAAAATGGCTCTCCGCGCGCGTCCATCGATCACATCGGCTCGCCGAATCGATCCTCACGAAGCTCATCGGAAGGTGAAGCCTGGCGACACCGGCGATGCTGGAGCACTTCTCTACGGGAATAAAAACACGAACCATACGTATCAAACAGTGACATGTCCGGACATGTCCGCACATGTCTGTGGTCCACATGTGCCTTTCCACCCTTTCCAATCTGCTTCTGCCCCAACACATACTTATGCATACCCATCTTCGCTCCCAAAAATGACTGGAATCCTGTTGACCACTCCCTCTCCTCACTCTCGTCCATTCCATCTGTTCCCCCCAAAAAGACTGCGGAAGCCCAGAACGCCCCAAGTCTTCGTCTTTCGCGGCGTTTTTCCTGGCCGCGCGGCCCGGCCTTCAGCTGCGCATCGAGCTGTTGAAGCTTCCCATCTAAGCGGTGCATCAACTCCCGGCGCTGCGGCGCGCGGAACTTCACCTCAACGCCGCGTTGGCGCCGCGTTGGCGCCGAGACGCGGTGCATTTTTCGGGCGGTGCTCGGAGGTCGTGAAGCAGTGCATCATGCAGTTGGGGACACGTCGACGCGGGGTCTTAGTAGGGCGGTTTGGGTTTTTTTGCGTGGTAGAGCCATTAAAGTAGCAGAACTGAAGTGAACTGAACACGTTCGGAGTGACAAGGAAGATATCGGATTATATTCGGATCGATATAAATAGATCACATGAGGGTCCTACATGAGTGGATCTTGTTGCTGCTGGGGTCCTACACAATTAGCCTGGTCATGGGGAGCAGGATCACCCAAGGGCAAGCGACTGGATCCGGATCCGCACGTGCGCATGCAACATGTTTGCGGGTCCTTCTCGGCTGCACATTGTTGAGACTGAAGTTCGACGTTGGCTGTCTCGAACACTTGTCATGGAACCAGGTGGCGACGCTCCCACATCAAAGACACGCGATCGTCGCAAAAACGTGGTCTTCCCAAGGCCCCGCCTCCACGATCCCAGCAGGTTCCAAAATGCCGCCCCTGCTGTCCTTCCCACGGTGACGTGGACCCGCGGTGGGGCGCCGGTGGCATGTGACGGTCCGGTCCACTTATATTGACCACGTCACAAAGCGAGATGAGAAGAAACCGAGATTGACAAAACAAAGCGAGAAGCCGTTCCGATCTTTGTTGGCTTTGCCGTGAAAGAACATGGTTGTTGTTTGCTTTTCTCTTGGGATCTCTTGGGATGATGGCATGATGTGGGCTTGTCAGATCCGGTTCTGCACGTATCACGAACGGCGGCTTCTCAAATGTGCTCACCTGTACAGTCCAACCAAGCAAATATGCAACTAAAGTGAATATGCATATTCAAAGCAAATACAAACTATGCCAATGATATTCTGCACAACCAAGATCTATCCGTGCAAAATACTTCCATCACCGCCACCTACAGTACTCTCTCTTTGGCATGGATTCTCCATAATTATCCACCACGTTCACCCCATCCCACAGTGGCCACGCATCGCACAAAGCCAAACGTGCCACGCCTGATCGGCATACATCTCCATGACGTCAGGGTTGATGGCTGGGTCGACCACAACCCAACTGCCGCCCCGCAGTTCTCCCTCCGGTGGGATGTAAATGAAGACCGGCTGCTTGTAATCCACCAAAGCATCCACGATCTGAGCACCAAACTTCAGCACTTCTCCTTTTCTGAATGGCAAAAGACACACATCCCGATTTGAATGTATATAAAATCATCTCATTCAAAACGAACAACATTGAACACATTTTTTTTTTGATAATTTGGGGATATTGGGGGACAACATGGGACAACTATGTACTGCCCCTCGACTGCATGAGTTTTCGGTCTTCGGGGAAGCACCTCATCATGCGAAAGTAGTACAGTGGTTACAGAGTAGATGGAACAATCCCCAATGTCGATAGTTTATCTTTATATAGTTCCCCATAAAAAAGACATCTTGGGGATTCTTGGGGTGCCATCGAACCTCTGAAACCACTGTAATGCCATCGCCCAGCTGAGTATCCGTACATATCCCGGGTGCCGCCAGAGAAGCCGCGCCAGTTGGCGAAGATCATCAAGGGTAGATTCTCACCCACATTGAAGTCGCGGATCGCCGTGGCCGTCTTGTACGCACCTTGAAACAGCGGTGCTGTGCCTGTAAAAAGTGTACACTGTATAATACGGTACTATACGGCTATACGGTTGAACTTTTGAGAAAAAGGGTTCAAATCCAAAGGAAAAAGGTGGAAGATGGCAGGAACAAGCAGAAACCAGGTGAAAACAAGAACAAACACAAGTACGGGGTGCTACTTTGTGAAAATACTTGGGTACCACCTACCGTACCATCCCCCAAGAAGCTTGGTGATGTTCACCGGCGTCAAAAGAATGTGTTCGTCAGAACAAACTGAACTTGGGACCTGAGCGGCTGTCTGGAAACCACACCTGCCCTGCTTGTGGCTCAATGATCTCGCGACTGGAGGGGTTCCCAGGGTCGGCTGGAATCTTCCGCTCCACGTTCCTCCGAACCAAAAGGAGAAACACCGGCGGCGTGTTTGGCGGAGGACGAGGAGACACGAGGACCCATGAAAAAAACCCTGGAACCTCATTGGAGGACTAGCAGTCCAGGCAATCCAGGGGTTGCAAAGGCCTTGAATCTTCGAAAGGACATGCACATGGTGAGACCCTCAACACAGTGGGACCCCCCCAACACATCCAAATACAACCCTTCCCTTCCCTTCGGAGCTGGTGGCCTTTTGAAGATCCTTTTTGGATCCTTTTGGTTTGGACACCTAATCTACCAAAAACTGGTTCCAGGCTACTAACATCTACTATCTAAAATAGTAGTGGCAGCCATGGCCATGGCCCACCAGTGGCTACCCTTCTCTCACATCCGTTTCATCCCCCACAGTCGACTCGACTGTCACGCGGCGGTCCTGGTCTCCACTGCAATGACGCCCATGGGGATTCCACCCAAGCGTGCGCGGCCCACGATGACGCTGCGGCCCCAGCCCGCCATGTACTCCACGAAGCTGCCTGCATGGCGGTCTGATGCAGGTCGAGTTTTCAGCATGGGAAGCTCGGACAGTGCTGTTTGGCCGCTGATGAAAGTGCCCGAGTCATTTTAGGGGTCTCGTTCTTGGATATGGGTCGCACCCCCTGTACATCACCGGGTGGTCGGTGGTTGAGCTGTGGACCATGACCCCCGCTTGGGATGCGCTTTTCGGTCTTCTGGTCCAAGACACTGTCCAAGACTGGTGAGTCTCCCACGTTTGATACAAACATATCATCCAACACCATGCTTCACATGGACAAAACGCCATGCAAGCATCCCACCGGATCCAATTCCCTTCCATATTACAAGGCTATTATCCCTTTTGTTGCCATGTTCATTCTTCATAACACTTTGACTGTAAGAACTTATATGACCACGGGGTCCTCCGTTCAGGAAGATCCTTGATCTTCATCATAAAAGGTTGCTCCTTTGTAGGGGTCACAACTTTGTCAAATTTGAACAACCTATACAAAACCGCACTGCCGTGAGGCCCGGTATGTGTATATGCATGTATACTGTAATTACTTTTTATGTATATATACACACAGGGTCTCCAGCATGTCCGCCAGTGATACAGCAATTCTGTTGGTGTTCAGGAGATGCAAGACTTCCTGCCCTACAGGACATGATTGATCCTCATGAGCTCTTGACCTTGTTTTGCCTCTTCATATTAAGTACATGAGATCCCTATCTGAGGAGGGGGGAACAAAAGCCATGAACACACTGGGAGTTTTTCACGTCAACACACTTGGGAGAACATACTGGAACGTCTCGCGAGTATGAAGGAATTCTGTGGTGAAGAAGTCCTTTGTATTCTAGCTTCATGGTGGGTAAAAAACAAACACACCAATCCTGATAACTTAGCCTCACCTTTCATGCAGCATGCATGCTACCTCAAAGATGTGCCGAGAGAAGCGTATCGAATATATGCATGTAATGAATAATACTGAATATTCAACAGCTGAAGTGAACCAACATTATCCAAACCAAGGTCTTGTGCGGTGTTCCAGTGATTGACACATGCAGGTATTTTGGCGATTTCTAGTACCCCCACAACTGCCGCCTTGATGATGATGATGATGATGATGATGATGAAGAAGAAGAAGATGAAGATGAAGATGAAGATGAAGATGATGATGATGATGATGATGATGATGATGATGATGATGATGATGATGATGATGATGATGATGATGATGATGATGATGATGATGATG